AAAAAAACTTGTCTAACTTTTTCTTTTTCTTGCAGAATAGTATTATACTCGAGGACCCAGATGCAGAGCATGAGGAGGAATATTTGCAGAAGGTAGCTTTTGCAATGTGGTTGATTGCTGGAGCTTGACTTTTTTGATTCTAGTTAATGTCGGCGGGCAATCTCTCCGATATTGAGGAAGAAGAGGAGATTGAGTTTTGCGGCCCTGAAGATGATCCAGATGACTACGATGATATTCTGAATGTAGGTTATAGTTTGCATAATTTTTGAACTTATTTGCCTAAGACTACATTGTAGAGCGTGGAGGGCAACGCTATACTGATCGAGCCAGGAGCAAATTTCAAATATTCGATGCCAGAGGACGAGTATGCGGATCACCCAATGAAAAGATACACATTAGAAGAAATGGAGGAATTGTTTGAGAAGTTCAACGATGTTCTTATTGTTTAAGCGTGCTCTTCTACACATTATTCTTCTCTTTTACTGACGATTTGAGAAATTCCCCTTCCTTGATGTAGAGAGTAGGATTTTTAGTGCAAGAAAGTGTGGTGTAGTAGCCACCCTTCAACCTTTTTTTTTCAATCTATGCAGCTTGTCCTCTTTCTTAAAATTTTCACAATTCCAATGGATTAATGGCAACCCCGCGACACTCAAAAGTCTTTCACCTTTTTGCGGAGCTTTGTTTTAATGAGATTTATGACGATCTCACAATATCACAGCGTAAAAATTGCTTTTTATCGAGTCTTATTGAAAAGTATTGTGATTGTATTATTTATTGATTATATCTAATTCTATTATGAATCTCCATCGTTTTGCTGTTCTTTGTATATACATTCCAACCATGTTCCAAAACAGAAAGAAACTAGTGACGCTAGATTTTGCTGCGAATTTGTTCACTGAGTTCTCCCTGATTGGACTAGAAATAACTGTATTTTGGGTTGCGAAATTTACATTTAAATTATCTTAGGACTTATATACACACACTCGTAATGTTGGGGACGGGCTTCCATCGAATATTTTACTGAGTACAGCCGAAACAATATGTACATTTTTTGCATTGATAATGGTAGAATCTTCCTGAAAATCCAGAGGAATCAATGCCAGCGAATGTCAACATCGGATACCAAATAATCTGCAAAATTTATTGATACATATATAAATAAACTGATTTCTCAGACCAGGTTGTGACAATGCCTCCTAATATGAGGTACATAATGAATCTGATGTTGATCTACAATAATCTATTCTATTCCTAGACTTACAGTGCAAATCTTAACAATTTTACTTAACATCCCATACATAAGGCATAACTTCTTCCAGAGTTTTCACTGAGTTTG